CGATGGCAGCGTGATCGTTTTAATGCCCTCCCCAAACGTCCAAAATGGCGACAGACAGCGTCCAACGCAACAATCAAATACAGTCATCTCGATCGACAGGGTTAGGGCCGTCGGGTAAGGGCGATTCTTACGTAGGAACGGGCGGTCTGAGGCTGTTCAGGAGATGGTGTGAGAGGATGACATGGTAGAGAGCACAATAGCGGTCACCAATCATTCTGTAAATCATATCCAAAACGAAAACAATGCCCATTGCCTTTCCCCTGAGAGGTCTCAACTCTGTCAGAGAATGCTGACATCCAGAACAAGCAGGTGGTGGCTTCAAGATAGTCTTCTCAAAAGACAGATAAGGTGAAGAGAAGGGGGGGGTGTCGAATACGTTCTAGAAGGCTGAAGGAATACGTGACCTGCTGTTTTCGGTTGTCGACCATGCCAGGAAGCAAAGGGCTCCGGTAAAGGAGGCGTAATTACGTGGGACGGTCTAGGCTCGCCTTGGAATACAGGGAGGGGGCCGCCTGAAAATTTGAACATCACGAGCGCCAAATTTTGCACACCCCTCTCTCTGGACAAAGGTGCACTGCCGATTAGCTTTGGACGGTAGCCGGACCTGGAGCAAAGAGGGTCTGGGAGATTCAACACTCTGCACTGTGCAACTGGGGTCTTTTTTTCTTCTCTCGGGTGTGCCGTACGCCATACTTTGATGCACCACCTTGCCTCACCTAGACTTTGTTAGCCAATTGGCAGGGAAGTTTTGCCTGAAGCTATCTCAAAATTATCCCACGATCCATAATTCGTCATCTGCCGTCGTTAACCGTTTTGGTAGATCCTCACATCGATTGCTTCTTTTTCTCACTGATCGGCCTTGTTCGACTTTTACTGCTCCTCCTTTGCTAAGACTGACTTTGGCCATGATGATAGTATCGCTCATGAGAGACGGTGAACCTTTTCAGATGTAAGAGGGATAAATCACCAAATCGCTCACCCGAAAGGCAAAACAAATCGGCCAAATAAGAGATATGGTGTCCATTTTACAGGATCACCAAATGCCTCATAGAATATCAGGAGTGCAATATGCAGCAGCCTGCAGCAGCACATGCCCGTGACGACGATAAGAAAAGAAAACAAACAGGATTAAAACAACTAAGGCGGCAGTAGAGAAATACACGGCCCTGTTCATTTTCTCGTCTGCGTTGTTTCCAGTCACGCCAAAGTACGACACGTGCAAACGAGGCTGTAGGTGTTCATATGGAATATCAAGGATATAGAATTACGACGGTTACGGAGGCAACCCCGAGCAACGAGAACGTCTTCCCTGCACAAGCTCTTCGGAGCTCACAAGATCTGGAGAGCTCCCAATGGACACTGCCGAAAATAGCTTTCGCCTGCTCCAAAGCTAACAGAAAGAGGTAGCCTAAAATGGATGCAAGCTGTCTCCTGCAGAGGCAACCGTTTGCAGAGCCTGAACAAGTCTGGAGGTCCCTCTCGTCTTTCGTCGCTTCATATGAGTCTAGAGTCATCGTCGAGGCGACAGAGGCAATCCGCGGTTGTTACTTCTGACTTGCCTGTTTCCCGCGTGTGTGCAACCTGACGTGTAATGCTCCACAGATGTCCATCGACCAGCCGATAAAGACGCCAAACCTTGCTTCATGACATCATTTTGCCCCAGAAAGCTCCAGAAAACCAGCGGATAACGGAATCAACAATACACCCCCAGGCCCCTCTCTTATAAGAATTTTGTGCCTGGGAGGGCTGGAAGATCATGGGCTCAAAATTCTTGACACAGAGTAATGAGTACGAATTACAGATGTACAGACTATGGTGTATTGGTCACACATGGAGACAACGTGGGGCCATTACGTAGACTCACGTCGACATCGCGAGGCTTCCTCTCTCCAGGAACACAGGCATCATGGACGATCAAACCTTTTGACAAGAGACAGACCAGGGGCGAGCGAGGATGAGAGCAAATAGTAATAAGTAATTCCTTTGGACGCCAAAGCCAATCCCGAATGAAATATGTAAGGTGTGATGTTCCACAACATGGGTGTAAGAACAAAAAAAGAACAGGGCAAAACCCTCAACAAAACAAAAGCAGAAGCAAGAACCGAAAAGTAGAAAATTTGAGGGAGAGAAAAACAGCAAAACACGACATTGGCAATTCAGTAGAGAGATGGGCACTGATCCTCTCTACTAGGTCTCTCTACTTGCCCAGGCCCTTTTTCAACTCAACGCATGCGGTATAAAACGACATGATTACCGCCGCCCAAAGTGTGCCTTCTCGCACAGCCAGAAAGACACACGCCTCCCAATGAGGTCGCCATCACAGTCTACCACTTCCCTTCCACCTTACTCCTGCTCATACTTGCGAACAGACTCCGATGCGTCGTCTGCAAAAGCTCTCCTCGTTCCAGCAAAGTCACTCGCTCCCTCCCTCGGCATCGATTGTAAACGGGAGCTTAGATTTGTATCGAGGAGCCGTTCCGATGTGCGTCAACATAAAGGGGCAGTGATGTAGTCACCATCACCTCTTATACAATCATCTGCGCCACGCCGGCACCGCCGAGCGTCTTACTACCGACAAAGTCCTGGCCACGGATAGCAGCCAACAGATAGCAAATGCCCGTCAGCGACAGAAAGACGGCGGCGGCAATCAGACTCGTACGCGCGGCGATGATGCTCAACCACTGGACCAGGGCCATGCCACCGTAGGCAGCGGCGCGCATCCAGTTGGTGGAGACACGGCGGATGGCCGCGTCGAAAGTGGACGACGTCGGGCAGATGCGCAGCAGCAAAGGGACCTCGATGAAGAGGATAATAAACGAGAAGGCACTGTTTCGTTAGACGATGCATGGACAAGGGGGAAGTAATGGCGTTCCCTGAGGCGGGAGGGGTGACCTACAGGCAGACTGCACTAAAGACGATGATGCCGACGTGGATTGTGAAGACGTTGGCAATGCCGAGGGCAAAGCACAAGATCATGGACAGGATACCGAGCCTGGAAAGGACAGTGTTAGTACATTCCGATGATGTCTAAGTCTTGGTTTCTCGAACAGTTGTCGTCGCCATCGTCGCTCTGCTGGCGGTCGCTACATTGGCAGCATTGCAACAAGCCGCTACTGCCGCCTCACGCCCTGTTGTCACCTGCTCAGCTGTGCCATGGTTTTGCGCAACGAGAGGTAAGTCGCCGGATACAATATAGTCAACGTACGCGCATTGCGTAGGTAACATGCTGTGGTCGGCCGTTCGGGTTGGTGGTATTCAAGCGTAGTGATCGGCTTCGTTGGGCAGTATCGGATGATGGGCAGTTGACAAGCACAAAGCGACATCGATGAAGATCAAGATACAAAGAGACATACCATTGTCCGTAGATGCCTGTCGCAAGTCCGCATGGTTAGCCTTATGTCACTTGAAAAGGTCACGATTGTGCACGGCGCCATCGCGACAGTTTCCAAAGCCGGTCCTCCTTTCCATGCCCTCTTATTCCCTCTCTCGTCTCTCACAACATACTGAAGTTTCTCGTCGCGAACTCTTCCCGGAGTGTCATCTTAGGCGGTTGTTTGTGAAGAAGCGTGCGCGTGCGCAGGTAGTTTTGCTATCAATAGGAACGGAAATCCGTGGAAGGTATGTCGACAAGATTGCAAACTTGTCCTCTCTTCAAGAAGAAAGAAAGGGCGGATTTGCTCTGTCCTTTGTGTGATGAAGGGGTTCAAAACCGAATCGGGAGAAAGAGAAATCCCTTTGTAGGTCCGCGTATTGGCAGGGGTTCGTTCGTGGGCTTTGTTTATCGAAAGAGACGTGCTGTTGATTCAATGTCCGTCCGACGGTTTGCAAAGGTTTGGTTTCCTATTCCACGATGTCCTGATCTTCTTTGGTATTCGTGTTCGCGTGGTGCTTTTGAAGGTTGCATTGCTTTGGTTCGTTCGGCGTTTCGGTGGCATCGACGGATTACGGAAGTAGTACGTAGCAACAGGCTCAATATTACTTTGGGGAATTGGGGCAAGAACGAGAGACAAATGGGGCTGGCGACCAGGGTGTCCGCTTTTTGGGTGAGAAATGGCAGAGGACACCAGCCTCCTTTCGTTGCGTGGACCCCAGAGGTTGGTCGCCGTTGCCCGTTACGTTCAGGCACATGCGCTAGTTGGCCTGTTGGCTGGAGCTTGCGCCTCTCTTGTGCTTTTACAGGGGCATGTCACTGATGAAATGCCCTGTGGCTAGTGCCGTGGCCTGCTCTGACATTCTGGAATGATGCCCCAGAACACCAGCTGGAGGGCAACAGAAGCGAAATGCCACCTCACGTTATCTGGCCGCCTAAAACAGCTTACGTGGGTCCTTTTTTTCCCTCTTTGGTGCTCTGGTACCGCACCCTCGTTCCAGGCATCTCTCAATCGGGCAGGAGCCTTCCAGAACAATTACTTCGTAGGCCGTTTGCTGAGGAACTCGTCTTGTAAAGAGGATTCCAACGGCAAAAGTCCGTTTTACCGTGACATTTTCCAGGTGTATAAATGGATCTGTCACTACCTGGATGGCGCATACCGTATGTCGAGTGCCCGATTGTGTCGTATTCGTATCTCACTTTTTTCTCACGTACTCTGCAAAGAGCGACGGTGACGACGACGACCAGCTGTTTGGGATCACTGAACAGCTTGTTCTTTTTTGACATGCCTACTGATCTCCCGTGCATCACTGGAACGCCAATGCTTTGCGCTGTTTCATATGTTTCAAAACTGTTGGGCAGTACCTGGCTCGATTCCAGTGGCCAGGTCCGTGATTTCAAGTAGGATTAAGCACAGGCAATATCACGTGATGTTAACGACCAAACTACAAGACAATATCATCACTTTGTGGCTCGCTGTACTTCTGTATTGTGCAAGTGTACGAAAGGCAAAAAGTGTTACGACCGTAAATAGATATAAATCTGCGGAGTAATCCTGTACCATACGAAAAAATATCCCTAATAATAATAAATACATCCCGCTCCCCGTGCCATCCGCACTGCCGCCGGCATGCCCACCGCCGTGGCCAGCGCGACACGCGCCGCCTCGGCACGGCTCCGCGGCATAGCCGCCCCGCTGCCCCCGTCGACCAACAAGCGCACGCGGCCTCCCACTACCGACAGCTCAACACCGGCCAGCAGCCCACTACGCAGCCGCACCAGCGACGTCGTCGTCGCGCCCGAAAGACTACAACGGTCCCCGGTCAAACGCAGCCGCACGGCTGCCGAAATGCGCACCGTGGCCTCGACCCTGCACGGCCGCGACACCGCTGCCGCTGCCCCACCGACCCCGACCGAGGCAACCAGCATGCACGCCACCCGACCGGCCATAACACCGCACACCACGAACGTCCCGGAGGACGTCGCCAAGATCTGTGGCATCGCTAACGGCCACGCGGATGCTCTCGCCACCGCACTTGCTATTGTGTACGAAGCCGACCCCCTTACAGGCTCGGCCGTCGACACGATCCTACAAAAGCTCTTCTACACCGTCACCTCGCAGGCACACCACGCCGCTACCACGACACCGCCTCCGGTCACGACGGCCGTACCGGCCACGACAACCAACCCGCCACCCACATACGCCTACCGCGTCACCTCACAAACCACCCCCATGTCACAACAAACAAACAATAGCCACAGCAACACCCACACCACAGCAACGAAGCCACGATACGAGGAGGTTATCCTCCACACCAGCCGTATGACGTCACCACCGTCATGCGAGACTATTGTTAACGCCGTCAAGTCCGCCGCCGGCGACCGCACTCCAGCCCACGCCGTACGCCAACTCCCGAGCGGCGACAGCGCGGTCGTCTTCCCGAGAGGAACGGACCGGTGGTATGTCAAGGACATGTCCTGGGCTGACGACCTCGGAGCCGACGTCACGATCACTGGCCCGAAGGTCGTCCTCCACGGCGTACCAGCCGACACACTCCTCCAAGATCTCCGCACCAGACTCAAGGCGCCTTGCCCAATACTCCAGACACGCCCTATGGTCCGCAAGGACAGCCCGCCGGCCCGTCCCGGTAGCTTATGCCTCACCGTGGCCACCGACGCTGACGCCACCTTGCTTCTCCGGGACGGTGTCATCCTCGACTACTGCCTCTACCGCGCCGTCCCGTACAGACCAGACACCAGACCACATATCTGTAACCGCTGCCAGACCTGGGGCCATAAAGCACGCACCTGTCGAAAGCCACCCCGGTGCGCCCACTGCGGAAGCGCCCACGAGAGCCTCTCTTGTGACAAGTCCTCAGACGAGAGACACTGCCCGAACTGTCGTGGGCCCCACCCAGCCTACTCCCGCACCTGCCCCTTCTACTTAAACACTCTTGCCGAGTACCGGGAAGCTGGCGGCCCGGGCCGTCGCCCGCCGCCCGCCCGCCCCGATAAAATGACCGCGACACACACACCACAACTGCCCCCCATATCCTTCTAATGGTAGTGATCATTTCATGGAATATACATAAAACGAACCACCACGCACAGACAGCACTACACCACGCAGACACCCTTGACGCCGACGTCGTCTTCCTACAAGAAATAGTCAAGACGAAGAACGGCGACGCACCAGGACCGGCCTCCGGCAAATACCACAAACTCTGGGCCGGGGAGGGACGCCTTGCCGGCTACGTGGCGAAGCGCTTACCGCTGTCCTGCTGGGAATACACAGCCGAAAAAGACCTTATCCACATCACTCTCTACACGCAAGGGCCGCGCCCTCTCCACATCTTCGGCGTCTACAGCGAGCCATTACCACCTGGTCCGGGGCCGTGGGACTCGCCACTGCCCCGCCTCGCCGCTCAACCACAACCCGACACAGAGGCCGACGTCGTCCTTATAGGAGATGTGAATCTCCACCACCCACTTTGGGACACCGCCGGACGGACCTCTACCCACGCGGACGTCCTCCTCAATCTCACAAATACGTGGGATCTATCTCTACTCACGCCGCCGGGCACACCAACCTGGCAGCCGCAGGGTCAACGGTCCCACCAGCGCCCATCAACGATAGACCACACGTGGGCCTCGCCACGGCTCCGGGCCACGCATACCGTGCTCGACTGGCCGGGCTCCGACCACACGCCACAGGCCTGCTTTATACCAGCGACGACACCACCAGTACCGGCAGACGGCTTCTGTTGGTCCCGATTCAATCAAGATAAAGCCGCGGCCCTAGGGAGAGATATCCTCCTCCCGACGCCACCGCCGCCTACCGACGTCGCCACCCTCGAGCACCAGACCGACGACTTAATCGGCAAACTCGCCGGTATTATGCACGCATGCGTCCCGGCCAAGTCACCCCCCCGGGGACAACGCTTTCCTGGTTGGGACGAGGCTACCGCCGCCGCTACAAACGCTCTCCGCGCCGCGGAGAGAAGAGTACAAGCCGGAGACCAGTCTACGGCCGCATACGACGCCGTACGAGACGCACGCCGAGAGCAACGGCGCGCCCTCCGCCGTGCCGGTACCCGTCACTGGCGGGCCGTATTATACAAGGCCTCGGCAAGAGACGTAGACCTATGGAGACTCGAAAAGTGGGCTCGCTCCCGGAGCCATAACCCCTCCGCTCCGCCACTCCTCCCCCCGCTTCGGCGCCCTGACGGCACGTACGCCACCCACGTCGACGACAAAACGGAGATCCTCTCCCACCGCTTCTTCCCGACTCCTGACGCCGCACTACCTCCACGGCCGCCCGCGACACCACACGGCCGTATCTTTATTAGCCAAAATATCTCTATAAACGACGTCACAGCAGTAGTCTACCGTACCTCCCCGAGGAAAGCGCCGGGACCGGACCAAATACCGAACGCACTCCTCCGTGCTTGCGGCGACTCTCTCTTCCCATGGCTCCGGAACATCGCCACCGCCAGCCTCCACCTCGGCCACTGGCCGTCACACTTTAAGGCGTCCCGCACAATAATTATCCCAAAACCCGGCAAAACCGCTCAAGAGAGACAAGAAGCAAAAGGGTGGCGCCCAATCGCGCTGCTTAACACCGTCGGTAAAGTCATCGAAGCTATCGTGGCCCGCCGGCTGGCCGAGACAGCAGAAGAAAACAAGCTCCTCCCGGAGGGTCAAATGGGTAACCGGCGCTACCGGTCGACAGAGCTCGCGGCCCGCCTCCTCACCGACGCCGTACGGAGCGTATGGAGCGCCGGCGACACGGCGTCTCTCCTCCAACTTGACATCCAAGGGGCCTTTGACAACGTCCACCACGGGTGGCTCATTCACACACTACACACCCTCCACCTCCCGTACTGGATAATTAAGTGGATAACGAATTACTTGACAAGCCGGACGACGGAGCTCGCCTTCGACGGTAAGGTTGCCCCGGCACGGCCCGTTACCGCCGGCGTCCCCCAGGGGTCCCCGTTATCACCCATCCTCTTTATCCTCTTTACGACACCACTCTACCAAGCCCTCCGCCGCCACCATAAAGTTATTACCCTCGGGTTCGCAGATGACACCAACCTCCTCGCGAGCGGCCGCACGACAAGCTTTTGCTGCTACCTCCTTCGGGAGGCATGGTCTACCGTCACGGAGTGGGCACAACCGAGAGGCGTCGTGTTCGAGCCGGCGAAGAGCGAGCTCCTCCACTTTTCCCGCACACACGCGGCCCCGACGACGACGCTTACGCTCGACCGGGATACCGTCCTTAAGCCCCGACAGTCGGCCCGCTTCCTCGGTATCTGGCTCGACAGGAAGCTCCTTTTCTCGGCACACCTCCGGCAAATAAAACGCCGCCTCACCACACAGAGCTATGCCCTTACGAGACTCACCGGGAAGACGTGGGGCTGCACGCTCCCGTGGGCCCGCACGATCTATACGGCAGTACTCCGGAGCACAGCAGCTTACGGCGCGAGTGTCTTCCTCCCGGAAAAGGACAACCGCCGGCCAACGAGCTCCCTGGACACTATCTTTCACGGCTACCTCCGCACCGTCCTGGGGGCCTACCGGTCTACACCTATCCACCTCCTCCACTCCGAGGCAGGTATACCACCACTAAACCTCTACCTAGCTTACCGCCGCGCCGTCTTCTTATCCCGGCCAGACTACCAAGCGAAAGCCCAAGCTATCCGGAGCGCGGTCCACCGCCCCCGGCCGTTCACTAATTATTACCCGCCTATCCCCGCCCCACCCCTACCGCCCAGGCCCGAAGAGACGGACTGGACTGTCGTTACCGGCCGTTGGAAGGCCCTCTGGCAACAAGACGCCGGCAACGGCCACTCTACGGGATCCCTCGCGGCACGAACACCATGCTGGACGGCAAAGGCCGTACGGCGCCGTCACCTCCACTTAACCAAGGCCGAGAGTAGCCTCCTTACGCAGATCCGCACGGGCCATATCGGCCTCCGGGCGTACCTCCACTGGAGAGACGCCGTGGGCTCCCCGACATGTATATGCGGCACTGCGGACGAGACCCCGGCCCACGTCCTCTTATCTTGCACAGCAACACCCCAAAAACCGCCAGACTGGCCACAAACACTAACGGACCTGGACCGCCGCCTACAGACGGGCCTCACGGCCCGTCCACTTCTCCGCTGGCTTATTCGGAGCGGGAGGCTCCCGGAGTACAGCCTAGCTAAGGAGCTAGAACGGACGCCGTCGCCGGTGTAACACAGCACACCCACATCTGCACATTGTTCCTTTGTTTTATTTGTTTTGTTTTATTTGTTTTATTTTATTTGTCTACTTGTTAAAGTGACCACTCGGGCCACTACACGCACCTGTACCATAGAAACACCACCCACTTAGATCTGTGACAGTTTTTTCCCCATGAGGGTTCTGTCTAGCTAGTCGCCAATAGCCAGGACTGGCTGAGGAAGGCGGATAATAATAATAATAATAATAATAATCCTGTACCATAGAGTTGCTGACTCAGTACTCACCATATGATACCTTCAACTATTAAAAAATGAAAAAATAAAATCGAAAAGAAAAGAAAAATAATACGAAGAGAAATATTAAAAATCATCCGTAAGTTTCATATTATTCTCCGGAAAAAACATAAATATATTCAACAACCGAATTATTTGACGCGGTATTTTGAATTGTTTGAATACGCCGTGCTCATTAACAAAGTAAATGCTGCTGGACTTCATGATGCGCCCAAACCGAAGAAACCAAAAGCTAGTGTAAGTTTTTAATGTAACGCTCAATGCATATCATTTGCTCATTAATTTTAACCTCTTTTTGATCATCCTTTTGTCGCAAGTTCTTACGGAAACTCAAATAATCACCAACTCGTCCTCATCGTCATCAAAGTCGACGTTGCTAGGAGCAGTTGTCCCAAGGCTTTCGCGGCCGGCTTCACGGATGCCCTTACCGCCCAAAAGAAAGCGCGTCTTCTTACGGACAGGCGACCGCTCGGGTGCAGGCAAGATGGGCGTGGACGCCGAGCTGGTCAGAGTTGACCCGGCTGTGGCCGTTCCTGCCTGTCGCTTTAATCCGTTCTGGATTGTCTGGTTGTTGTTGAGGCGCTCGCCATCCTTCATGCGGCCCAGCTTGGCTTTTAGGTTCGTGCCCCAGCCAAAGCCTTCACCGGTTTGGCTTTGCGACGGTGCGCTTCCGGTATTCGTATTGCTGGTACCGGCCACACTACTCGAAAGAGCCGATTGCGGTCTCTTGCGCTTTGCTGGGCCGAGGTGGACCGTTGTCGGCGGCGGTTCCTGGTCCAGCTTCGGCGTATTGTCGCGGATGTGCAGGCCACTGTTACCAATACCAGTCGTGCTGGCAACACTGCGTCTTCCGACAACCGACGCGAGAAGACTTGCCCGTGACGCAGCGGCCTGCTCAGCAGCGGACCCGACTGTTGTCATGGACGAGGACGACGACAACTGCGACTGCTGGGAAGAACGGGTCGTGGAAAATGACGATGTAGTGGAGGAGGACGACCCCTTCTTTGTGGTCGTTGGGCCGCGCCCCGCAAGTTTCATGTAGTCTTTGCCGGCGCCCGTGCCAATCTCGCTCAGCTTGCGGGCAATGTCCGACTCACGCTCTTTGGCAGCCAGGCGCCGCTTGAGGCCCTCCTTGCGCTCCATCTGGTCCGAGTACCCGCCGTTCAGGGCCTCGTTGTCAATGAGCGAGCTGGCGCTGCTGCCAGCGGCAAACCACTGGCTCTGCGTCATGTAGTCGTAGCCCGTGTTGCTCTTGCCGCCCCGGCCGGAAGAGTAGTCCCCTCCGCCCCGGCCGCGGCCGCCACCACCTCGGCCGCCGCCACGCCCACCCCGCGTGCTCTTGTCACTGGTGCCAAACCCAGCGGCACCGTTGAGGTCATTACGTGTAGCGCGCATTTTCTTCGCCGCCTCGTTGGTATGGAACTCGCAAAACTCGGTGCGCTTGGCGTTGACCCAGGTGCTGCACTGGTGGCCGTCGCGCTTGATAGACTTACAGTACCCTAGGTCGCGGGCGTTGCCAATCTCTAAAATGGTGTCATCGTCCGAGTTGATGACAAGGCTCCACTTGCCCGTATCGTGGCGGCCGGGCGGTGGCGGCATAATGCTCGGATTCAAAATGGCGACGACAGTACCAGTTGAGAGCTTCCAGAAGCGCTCAAAGCCTGACTTGAAGAGAAATAGCTCGACCTGGTAAGTGAGGTCGACGAGCGTTAGCACCATGTACTTACCACGGTCTTGGCTCGCAGCCGGACCAGCAGCACTGCCGGCAGGTTTGTGGGACCGCGGGTCCGACTTCTCGGCGATGATTCCCCAAACAACAACATCCGTCTCGACCTGGGGGAGCTCGAAATGAGGTGCCTTGACGAGACGGAGCAGATCTTTGATGGTATACGCCGTCTTGCCAGACACAGAGCGCGCCACGACGGAGTGCGGGAGGTTACGGCGTGTGAGATGGAAGCCGCTGTAAGGCTCAAAGGAAGCCTCGTCGGGTTCTGCCGTGGCAGTGTCTTTTTTTGCCCCCTCCGACACGCCTTCATCCATGTACTTGGATCGAATATTCGGCGTCGTATTGCTGCGTCGCAAGGAACCACTGTCGGCGTCGTACTGCTTTCGTCCGGAAGCCGCCCCCAAAATGTCATCCCGACTGAACTTTTGCGGCCCTCGCTCAACGACTGGGATGTCGACAGCCTTGGCCTTGTACTGATCCATCTCTTCCCGGCCCACGTCGAAGCCCGATGTCCGCAGCTTCTGGATGCGTTCCGACTTGTCCTGGCGAGCAGCTTCTTGCGTCCGTGCCGCTGCTAATCGGTCGTTGAAGCTTAGAGGCCGTGGCGCTGGTTCTCTCTGTGACAATGACGAGCTGCTACCCCCTCTCTCGATACTAGAGCTGCTAGCACTATCCGTCAGCCCTCGCCGGAGGGAAGATGGCGGCCGCCGTAATGAGATATCCTGGCCGCGCAGTCCCTTGTCAATCCCCAACAACACCCTCTTGGGCGACTTCTGCGTCAGAGCCTCCACTGCCAGTTGTGGTCGTCGCACTGGAGACGCCGGCACTTCGACAGTACTGCGCTGTGGCGATCTGGGATTGTGTAGTGTTGCAGAGCCGCTGCCAGCTGCTATTTTCGCCGACCCAGGTGTTGACCGAGTCGATGACTCGCCAGCGGCCACTTTTTGTGCTTTGGCAGCTTGCAGCTTCTTTAAGCGCAGTTTCGCCTGGATCTCTTGCAACTGCAGTTGCAGTGTCTCTTCATCGTCCTCGTCCTCGCCTTCTGCTCCGCCCATGGCCGCGTCGTCAAAGCCGTGGTTTCCGGCACGCCCACCGCGAGAGGGAGAGGGCGAAGTTCGCGATGCTTCGAGACGCCGTAATCGGGCTCGGCCACCAGGTGTGCTGAGGAGGACCTCACCGGGCGATCGTGGAGGCCATTGTGGTTCGGATTCTATGAGAGCCATGGTATCAGCAGGCGGTTTGGCGGGCTAGTAGGCAAGCAGGCGTACAAATACTCACTCGACATTGTATCAACTTTTCTCTGTGCACCCTCCGAAGGCTAAAATGCAACAAAAACAAAAAGACAAAATAAGTAGACGGTAAGCCTGGCTACCACCATTGGAAAAGGAAAGAAGGCGATGATAGCGGGCCGTCGAGGCGGAAAGTATATTAGGCAAGGTTGTGCTGTTTACCCTTTGCTTCTGCCCGGGACACCAGATGGCTCGGGACAGTCAGCGAGGGTGTCAACGGTGTCGAAAACCGTTTTGTTATCTGCACTCGGCCAGACGAATAAGGCGCTACTAGGCAGTTCTCGATGTCGTATGGCGCTTCGCATAGGACTCGATCCTGGGTCGTTGCACTGGAAGAGAATGGCTGAATAGACGAATAGTAGGTGCCGAAATGGAAAATGACGAACGGTGAGAAAGCAAGCTATGACGTTGCCCGATGAAATAAAAACGTCGGGTCAAACATTCAGCTATTCGCTTGGTGACTAGCAATGTTCCGTCGAGGGATGGAGACGTTTCTCGACAGCAATGGTTTCAAAAATGCTTATCGATCGACGATAAAGAAAATGAGGCTAGCCAAGAAAGGGAGATGCTATTGTCTGCCAGTCTGGTGGTGGTGGTTTTGTTGAAGTGCAGAATGGGGGATAGGGCCGCCTCGATATTGCGACGCGTGACAGACGCGTTCCCGGCGTAACAAGACGCGACGGATTATGTAATGCTAATTAATGCCATCGACTACCACGGATCTTTTGACCTCGACAATTCCACCACACGACCTTACAACAACCACGGCCGCGATCAATTTGAGAAGCGAGGTGTCAGGAATTCTTTGTAGCTGTTTTATTTATCTTGCCAACAAGTCCACATCCAACAATGCCACCCCGGACAACACGTGCCTCCAAGGCAAAAGGAGGCAGCGCTGATGACACGGAGACGACAACAACAGCCTCAAGAACCTATACTCTCGAGGCCGAGACTGCCAATCCGCCGCGGCTCTTTGTGCTGCCAAAGAAGGCCACTGCAGATGCTCGCATCGTCACACTGCCACACCCACGGTACTCTTCGAAATCGACGCGATTCCTCGTTTGCCCCGAAACTGGCGCCTACGAGTTCACACAGATTTCCAGTCCCAAGTCGACACCACGCAGTTGGTTGATCACAGGCGAAGATGGAGTGATCGGCGAGAAGAAGGAGGACGAAAAATCAACGACAGAAGTAGAAGTTGAAGAGGCCACATCAAAATCGCCAACCACGTTCTCCACCCAAATAACCCAAGATGCCGACCTCTTCGTGGCCACGACCGTCGACCCCTTGTTCCTTGTTCTCCCAGCGCTTGTCGCCGAACCTTGCTTCACATCCGGGTCCGACTCGCCACCACGACCATTGCGCTCCCGCTCCCGCTCGCCGTCCTCGTCCGACCGGCCCCAAACGGCCAAGCGAATGTTCCTGACTGCTGACGACCACTTTGACGCGCTGCGCCAGGACGGCGGGTCACACTTGTCGCAGCTGCTGCGGCACCAACCGGCCGTGCGGACGCTGTTCACGATGCGCATGGCCGTCGTTTGCGACACGGTGGCGGCGGGGGACGAGACCATGTACCGGCTCAACGAGGACAAGGTGCTTTTGGCACTGCTGGGCAAGGCGCAGCGCACGAGCCAGCACCTGCCAGCCAGCCTGGAGGAGAAGTTTGTGACGCGGGCACTGGAAGCGCCCGTGCAGAGCCTAAAATCGACAGCTGGCTTGTCTGCAGCAGCGGCGTCGACCAATGGCGCATCCACGCCGCTGTCTACGACCGGCTCGGTCGACTCGGGCGCTGAATCGCAGGCTTCAACATCGACCACGGCTAGTCTCGTATCGGAAGCGTCGACGCTGTCAACAGCATCGACGGGAGCCACCTCCGTGGCGGGTGGTGAGAGTGAGGACGACCTCGTCGCTCGCGCCGCAATGCAGGCTCCCGAGGAAGTGGTCGCGCTGCAGCGGCTGCGTGTGGCGTTCCAGTTTATCTGCTCGCGGTACGTGCCACCCGCACTGACGGCGACGCTCACCAAGAAGCTTCAAGGGTCCGCCTCCGCCTCGGGCATCGATTTCACGCCGCTGGACGCATACCTGGCGAAGCTGGCGCAGATGCGGCAGGCGACGGCACTGGCGCGGTCTGCAGCACTCGATTACGCAGGCGGGCGCAAGCGCGGGCTGGAGGACGAAGAGGATGACGACCGGGCAGAGAAGAGGCGCAAGCAGTTGGAGGAGGAGAAGCGCAAGAAGGCGGGCGAGAGTCGGGGCGTGAAGAATCTCAAGAAGGTGAACGTGACGGGCATGAAGAAGCTAAGCGAGTTTTTCAAAAAGAAGTAGATGATACTTGGGCAAAGGACGTGGGCTCTTGAGGACCTGGAGCGGTCTTTGGGCATGGTCAATGTGGCGTTTTGGGGGTGTTTGGATCGCAACTGCATGTAGTGCGAGTAGTCCGGGCTACTATGCATCAATTCATTATTTGGTTTTACTTTGATTTTCATATCTTGGACTTGTGTCCGCCAAAAGCGAGCATCATCGTACACCGTGCCCGCTGGCTCGTGTTCCTCTTGGTATGCCACGGCCAATGTTCGACCCACTGCGTGCGTTGCTGCTCGCGCTTGTGCTGTTGCTTCGGGTCAGGCCACTGAAGGTGGTTGTGCTGCCCGTTCCCGTCGCAGAGCTGCCAGTCCGGCTGCCCACGCCCCGTGTGGATATCCCGTATGTTGTCCGCCCGACGCCTCTATTGCCAACGCGCACACCACCTCGTAAGCCCCTTCCCCTCGATGAGGTTCCTCTTGATGCGGACGATGCTGAGGGCGCTGCCAGCCGCCGCCGCTCCTCCTCCTCCTCGGCCTTGCGCTTCGCCTCGTCGCGTTTTCGCTGTGCTTCGGCGGCGCGCCGCTCGGCCTCTTGTTGACGCTGCAGGGCCTCGGCCTCGAGGGCACGGAGGTCTTGTGTCGCACCCTGCCATTGTGGGTCTAACAATAGGCGCTGGTTGTGTTCCGTCTGCGACAACAGGCGTGTCCAGGTGTTGAGCAGTGCCGATGCGTTGCCGACGGTTTGTGCGACGGTCTGTTTGTCAGTATGTGCAATAAAGAAGAAGAGCCTATGTGCATCGTTGACATACACTCATGTTTCCCCGTGACTGCTCCAATGTGCCAATCACGCCCTCGATGACCTTGTTGATCTGGCGCACCCCCTCGAGCTCGCGCTGTAGAGTGGCATCGCGGGCCTCCTCAGCATCGAAAGGATGTGTCTGCTGCTGCTGCTGCTGCTGCTGTTGCGTAGGCGGCGTCCGTTGCGGCGTCTTGGCTGTCGGCGTCTTGGGAGTCTTGGGTCGCTCGTCGCGGCCGAAGTAGGCTGGTTCCTCGACGGGCGACGACGAGAACAGGTCGGAGCTGTCCATGGTTATCCCGTGCGTTGTTGTGCGCGCGTGTTTTTGTTTGTTTTTACTCCGTACTTCGTGGGGTGGTAAAGCCTCCCTTGGGCCCAAATGACGTGGGATTGTCGGCGTTTGTTGCGCCTTTTTTCTGGTTCCACGTTGATTTCACCCCTTGGCCGCAGCCTGATGGAGCCCTGTGAACCTGTTTCTGGCCTGGTTGGGTCCCGAATGACGTTATTGTTTTGTTTCGCTATTCTCCCTTTGCCTCTGCACTGGCCCCAGGTCGTGGTTCTTTCGCACTCCCTGCGCCCTCTGTGAGGCTTCTCTTAGCCTTCTGTTGTGTCGCAGCTAAATAGGCGGGGCAAAGTAAGGCTGCAAATGCGTGTGTTGTTTGTGTTGTTCTCTTGGCACCTTCCGTCAAGTCGTGCCCCTGATTGGCCGTTCCTGCTCAGTGTCCCAACCAACAAAAAGCCCTTAGCGTGGCGGGCTTGCTGAGACGCGTTCTTGACGCGTCAGTTTCGCACCTCATCACTTCCTTGCCTACAGGAAATTGGCCCCGAGTGGGTCTTCACTTAAACGTGCAGGACAAAATAATGGGCATTGATGGCAGGAAGGGGCTGTTTCGCCCTGTTGGCGCTGCTGCAGAAGGACACAAGGTCAAAGTGGGGCCTTAAAGGCACAGGCAAATGCCAGCATTTACCAGCGAAAAGTCAGAAAGCACCCCCCTGTGGGCCCGCCGTTCCACCAAGCAGCGGCAGTCGAGCCTTCCCAGCCACCGAATTCCTCGAATTTTGCTCGCCCTTGGGATCTCCCGCCGTTATTCCTACTTTCCACTTCCCCATCGTCACCAGACACAAACATCGCCAGAAACAATTCCCACCAGCACTGTTTACTCACCTTCGTTGTTCTGCATTCTCGTCGTTGACGAATTCTGCTTCTTACTGTTCATCCTTAGCACATTGCGCCTATTTGTTGCTATATCCAGCATTGCTGCAAATCCATTTCGTGACCGCCTATTCCTCGTCCCCTTTTTGCTCATTTTTCTTGCTCTCGTCGTTACGTCTGGGAAACAAGATCAAAACAGATCAGCAACGCGAGGGCGCCCGCGATAAAGCGTTTGTTCCCGACCGCCGATACTTTCTCAGACACCCAATCCTGCTTTGCATTGTCCGATCGCAACGCCATATCGTCCTCTTTCAAGATATTGACGACTTAAACAGAATCACTCTGCTGCGTCTACTCAGACTTCTATTTTCAACTTCACTTGCATCTTGCTACTCCTGTGCGCCCGCGCTAGCAACCCGGCTTCACGCTCTGCTCTGCACACAGTCACATGCGCACACAGCGATTGCGCTTTCATTCACCGCCCTCCTCACATAAACACTCGCAGCCATGGCGACCACGCCGATAGCTGCGGCCACGCCGTCGCCCCCTCCTCATATTCACACACCACCCACACCGCGCCTAGGATTTGCGGATTCTTGGGAGCCCTTTTCGCCGCGTAAGTCGTCGCGCATTGCTGCTGCCTCCAAGATTGCCTCAAGATCCGCAGCAGCACGCACACCTTCACCATCTGCGGCCGCCCGGCAAGCCGTCCGCCAACCACGGTCGCCGCGCGTCGCGAAACAAGCAGCTCCCACACAGCACCAGCACAACCTACAGCCACATCCGCAACACCTCGACGTTGCTACCTTCTCGCCAGCACCGACGCCGAGGAAGAAGAAAACTATGCCTACTACCCATTTTCTGAGCCCCGAGGACGCACTCAAGTCGAACAAGAAGGCGGCTGGTGGCGAGAGCAGCACCTACGGTGGCCGCATGGGCGCCGGCATGTTGCCCACGCCGGCCAAGACGCCCAGTAAGAAGGTACACGCGGCCTCGCAAAACGAGTCCAACATTGCCGCCATCGCTCGCAACCTTTTCCACACCAACGTCGATGAGGTCATCGCTTCGCCGAGCAAGACGCCCTCCCGCAAGGGCAAGAAGTACACGGGTTTCTCGCTCGAGAGCTTCACCGAGGTCCAGGAGGAGGAACCAATTCCCATCTTCACCGACTCGCAGGACCGCGTGCCCGAGGCCGACACCAGCGCAGAGAACCCCTTCTTTGGTGACAGTGCCACCGCACTCCCCCTTCCCGAGCCGACACGTCGCCGTAGCAAGCGCAACCAAGTGTCGATCCCGGGCGAGGGAAAGCAGACAGTGGAGGAGGCCACTCGCCGGGAAGACGGCCTTGTCTACGTGTTCCGCGGCAAGAAGATCTTCCGCAAGTTCGAGGACAGCGCCGACGCGCAAGAGGAGGACATCCTGGAAGGCCTCTCGTCTGGCGCAGGCAAGGGCAAGCGGTTGACACGGTCGGCCATCAAGCCGCGCTTGTTGTTCCCGCGTGAGGACAGCAGTTTCACGGAGACGACACCCAACGGTGGCACGACCGAAGACGAGGAGGCCGACACTGACATTGAGGAGAGCAATACGGTCGACAGTGACGACGAGGCTGTAGCCGAGGATGACAAGTTGGAACCCACCATCGCCTCGGCGCCGAACACACCACCTCCTGCACCCAAGTTTGCTGCACCCGCCTCGCCGCCCACGACAACGCGCACGAGACGGTCTGGCCAGAAGTCGGCCGAGGAGCTGACGCCCGTCAAGGCCACATCGGTAGCCGCGCCCAAGAAGCGCAGTCCCTTTGATGGCTGGCGCCAGACCAAGAGCAGTGTATCGGCAGCAGCAGGGCACAAGCGGACGGTGGACGCACTCGGCTCGTCGCCCTCGGCAGGAGCAAAGCGGAGTCGTCCTTAGGTATAGGCAGACGTCTCACCAGGTTTACTCATTTCTTCTTCGTTTCTTCCCACCTCTTTGTCTATCTTTCATAATACCTTTTTTCTCTTTTCTTTTCTCACTTTCACGCCATCCCTGTTTCCTCATATCCTCATTGTTGGCGGCGTTGGGATGGACACTGGGTGGGAGCCATATTCATCATGAGCCCCCAGGACACTGTACTTTACTTTACCGTTGGTCTTTACTTTGATGGTTTTTCTTCTCCTTTCTTTGTTTTCCTAGTTTCCTACTTTCCTACTTTCCAGGGCACAACAAATTGCCAGGTACAAAAGAGTACCAAGGTCGAAGAAGGAAATGGCAGCTGCGGTACAGAGCCTTGAAACGACGGGATGAGGATGATGTATTAGGGCAGGGAGAGGGTCTGGGATGGATATTCGGAGGTAATCAAATTGTCTCTGGACGGGCGTTTCTTGTTTAACCATTGATTGTTAACATCATGTGTGTCTCGTTTTCTGTATTTCTTCACTGTCGCCTCGATAGAATCCTAAAGCAGGCAGCTAGTCTACGCTTCTTCCCGCTTGTGAATGCCAGTATGCAGACAACCTAAACATGACTGTATTTACCACCCGCCTCACGGCATCTTCCGCTGCCGGCCATAAGCTGTGCAATTACCTCACGCGCGCATTGTTAGTTCTGTGTGGGGTACCATACCTTGGAATCGTTGGCGTTGAAGAAAGCGAGCTTAACATCAAGGCACCGTTGGCGACTTCACAAGAAGCCGTCGCTGCTACAATATCAACGTTTTGGCGCCATCACTCCGATTTGCATCCCGGGAATCCGCTTGCTAAAGAGTGGAACCGTCATGTGCCTGGCATTCTTTTCTTGTCTTCCTCTCTTGCTTCCTGTAAGAGACCTTTTCCTCTCTATGATTCTACCTCTCTCGTTCAATCATACAAAACGACTCCTCCCTTGCAAGGAATATGGTTCGAATATCAATGATTGCGTCGGAGGCGGATTGACTGATCTTTTAAGTCTATGCAAATGTTGACTGCTCAGATCGAGGAAGCATGTGCCAATGGGAATGTAACCAAACGACAAATTCAAGTCACATAATCCACTACATCCGAGATGGATTTCAAGAAAAACCCTAATCCGAAACGATCTAACACCTCCCGACGTCAGTGTGTTATGGCTTCAGGTCTAAGTTGTAGGTGACTCTTGGCGGTCGTGCTTTCCCCACTAACCCCTACCGCGAGACATCATACTTTTCCGTCATAACAACCGACTCGTTCAAGATATCACCACAAAAGGTAGACACAGCACGCATACATACAAACACACGCACATATGCAAAACAATGGGCGACTTTACGTCTGTTCCGACGATTGACTTTGGTCGTCTCAACGACCCGGCCACCCGTGCCGACGAGCTACCGAAGCTGGCCGATGCTCTGTTCCGCGTCGGATTTCTGTATCTCGTCAACACGGGCGTCGAGCGTCTATTAGAAGACCTGCACGGCCGCCTGCCCAAGGCCTTTAGCATCCCGAAGGCCGAGCGCGAGCGCGTAAACATGCGCAACTCACCGTCGTTTCTCGGGTACACAGCACTCGGTGCCGAGACCACGGCCGCACGCACCGACCTGCGCGAGCAGTACGACTTTGGTCTCTTTGGCAGCCGACCAGGCGCCGCTCTCGGGACCATGCCACCCGCCCCGACCAAGGACGACCCGGCGTGGCGGTCGTTGGAGGGCCCCAGCCAGTACCCCGCGCTGCCGGGATTCCAGGGAGCCGTCGAGACGTACATGGCCGCCCTGGACGGCGTGTCCCGCCTCTTCCTGGGCTTCGTTGCCGAGTCGCTTTTCCTCCCCGCCGACGCTTTTGACGATTTCTTGGGCAACATGCACCGCCTCAAACTCGTCAAGTACCCGCCCACGCCCATCGGCCAGCCGGGCCAGGGCGTCGGCCCGCACAAGGACTCGACCGGCCTGTTCACGTTCCTGTCACAAGACGACGTCGGTGGCCTCGAGGTGCTCAGCAAGGGCGACGAGTGGGTTGCTGCGCCGCCCATTGCGGGCAGTCTGGTCGTCAACGTCCAGCAAGGCTTCGAGGCCATTACGGGCGGCGTGTGGCCAGCCACGACACACCGCGTGGTCTCCCCGCAAGGCACCACGGTGCGCTACAGCGTGCCCTTTTTCCAGGGCGTGCGCCTCGACCTGACGACGGATGAGCTGCGTTCGTCTGCTGCCCACA